GCTCGTCTTGGGGAAGGAGCCGATCTGGGGTTGGGACCCGAGAGGAGTCGGGGGAACCCGGCGCGGGGCTCGCCATCGGCCGCCGGTCGCAGAGAGAATGGGGAGGATTAGGGTGCGGTGAGAGGGAGGGGACCTGAGGGGAACCACGTCCGACCCGACTCCCCGGCTTGAGACCCATCCGGGAGGAACAGGGAGACAATTCAGAAAGGGGGTGTATTGTTGGGAGGGAACCTGCTTTGCCCCGGCGTTTGTGAGTTGGGCTGATCCTTGAGGAGGGGTGAGGGGTGCACTGGCGTGTTGGAGGGCAGAGGGAACAGGTGAGGCGGGGTGACAGGCTGCGTTCCAGTGTCTGCGCACCGAGGGCGGCGAGATAGATGTGGGGTGCAGTGTAGGAAGTGGCCCGGGGTGTGAGGAAAAGGCAACTTGGCAATTAAGAGAAATATTGGGGAAACGCAACTGAAAGACCGGATATCATCTGAGGGGTGGAGCTGGGGGTGGGGACTTGGGACTCCCTGTGACAGGGCCCCGAACACGGTGCTGATCGGTGCTGAGAAGAGGCAGCGAGGACGCGTCGGGCAGGGCTGAGTGTCGCTGGAAGCCGAGAAGATGGGGAGATGTGTGACTTGAAGGGAGGGGGCTCCGCTGGGGAGGCTCTTCCTCAAGCCCCGTCCCCTTCCAGCAGGAGTTACCAAGTCCCCAGCACTCTCTCCCTCCGGGGGATCTGATCCTCCATGGCCGCCGATAACAGCATCATTGTGCTGGATGATGATGACGAAGACGAAGCAGCGGTGCAGCCGGGGCCCTCGCACCCACCCCCCAATCCGGCCTCACCCCCGGCTGACGCCCCTGCCTCCTCTCAGCCCCATGGGGCTGGAGGGAACAGTAGTTCGGGCGGCAAGAAATGCTACAAGTTGGAGAATGAGAAGCTTTTTGAAGAGGTGAGCTTTGTGGGGGGAGACATGCATCCTAGGGAGCGGGGTACTGCCTGGCTCTCCTGTCCTTTCTTCTTCACTAACACTACCTGCCTTCTTTCTCTCAACCCCTCCCTTGTCTCTCCCTCCCTTCTTCCCCGGAACCCTCCAGTTCCTTGAACTGTGCAAGGCGCAGACAGGGGACCATCCTGATGTGGTCCCGTTCCTCTGTAAACGGCAGCAGCGTGCCCACGCGCTGTTTTTGGCCTCAGCGGAGTTCTGCAACATCCTCTCTCGGGTACTGTCTCGGGCCCAGAGCCGACCGGCTAAGCTCTACGTGTACATCAATGAGCTCTGCACTGTTCTCAAGGCTCACTCGGCCAAGAAAAAAATGAACATTGCCCCTGCGGCCACCACCTCTAGTGAGCCCTCTGGGAGTAACCCTCCTGCAGACCCCTCCTCAGACCCCACAAATGCCGAGACCACCGGCTCTGAGGCCCCAAGGACCCGTGGCTCCCGGCGGCAGATCCAGCGCTTGGAGCAACTGTTAGCGCTCTATGTGGCAGAGATTCGACGGCTGCAGGAAAAGGAGTTGGATCTCCAAGAATTGGATGACCCAGACTCCACATACCTGCAGGAGGCAAGGCTGAAGCGGAAGCTGATCCGTCTCTTTGGGCGGCTGTGTGAGCTGAAAGACTGCTCTTCACTGACAGGCCGAGTCATAGAGCAGCGCATTCCCTACCGTGGCACCCGCTACCCAGAGGTTAACAGGCGCATTGAGCGGCTCATCAACAAGCCAGGGCCTGATACCTTCCCTGACTATGGAGATGTGCTGCGGGCCGTGGAGAAGGCAGCTGTTCGGCACAGCCTTGGCCTCCCCCGACAGCAGCTCCAGCTCATGGCTCAAGATGCCTTTCGAGATGTGGGCATCAGATTACAGGAGCGACGCCACCTTGATCTCATCTACAACTTTGGCTGTCATCTCACAGATGATTATAGGCCAGGTAGGGATTAGTGAGATGCCCATCAATGACCCTTAGATGTCAGGTGTGTGGTAGAGGGGGCATCTCTCTAGTCCCTTCTATTGGGTTTGGGCTGAATACTCTGACTTTTTATCTTCCCACACAGGCATTGACCCTGCACTGTCAGACCCTGCCCTGGCCCGGCGCCTTAGGGAAAACCGGAGCTTGGCTATGAGCCGACTGGATGAAATCATCTCCAAATATGCGATGATGCAAGACAAGAGTGAGGAGGGCGAGAGACAGAAGAGAAAAGCCCGGCTCCCCCAAGCCACCTCTTCCCATTCTCCAGATCCCCCCAAAGCCTCCTTGGATTCTGGTGAGGTGTGGAAGGGATATACCCTTTAGAGAAATCTTGTTCTTTCCCTGCTCTGGCCAGCAGGAGTCTAGGGTGACTGATGGGGGAGTTTGCAGAAGGAACATAGACCCAGACCCTCTGAGGCAAGGGATTTCTTTTTTTTTTTTTTTTTTTTTTTTTGTTAGTCCTCATCTGAGGGTTTTTTAAAAAAAGATATTTTTATTAATTTCAGAAAGGGAAAGGAACCAGGTTTGCTAAAGTAATTGTGGTGATAGTCTCTCTCCCTTCCTCTCTGTAAAAAATCAATAAAGTATTTTTTAAAAAAAAGAAAGGAAGGGAGAGGGAGAGAGATAAAAACATCAATGATAGAAACATTGATCAGCTGCCTCCTGCATGCCCCCCACTGGGGATCCAGCCTGCAACCTGGTATATGCCCTGACTGGGAGTCAAACCATGATCTCCTGGTTCATAGGCTGATGTTCTGCCACTGAGCCATACTGGCTGGGCTGAGGATATTTTTTCCATTGGTCTTCAGAGAGAGTAGAGGGGAGGAAAGGAGGGAGAGAAAGAGAAAGTGATGTGAGAGAGACACATCCACTGGTTGCCTACCACACACCCCTACTGGGGGGAAGGGAGGTATGTGGCGGGGCGGTGAGGTATGTGTCCTTGGTGCCCTTGACCAGGAATCGAACCTGCAACCCTTTAGTGAGTAGGCTGGACGTTCTAACCACTGAGCACACTGATCAGGGCAAGAGATTTCTTAGAGAAACTCCTTTGTTCCCCAGGGCCCTAGTGGAATGACATCCCAGGAACACCCTACCTCCTCCAAGGCTGAGACAGATGATGAAGAAGATGAGGAAAGTGAGGAAGAGGAGGACGAAGAGGAGGAGGAGGAGGAGGAGGAAGAGGAGGCAGAAGAGGAAGAGGAGGAAGAGGAGACTACAGATTCCGACGAAGAGGGGGATCTGGAACTGGTACTGGAAGGTCAGGAGGAGGAGGAGGAAGAGGAGGAAGAAGCAGGTATGTCAAGGAAAGTCTTTTCACGTGTCAGTTCCCTGTGTTGGGCATGCCACCTGTTTGAGACCCTTCTTGGCAGTGTTCTTCCCCTAGTTCTCATGCTACCCTTCCCCTCTTCTTTTTTTCAGATAAGGATGGAGACCAGAGCCCCATGTGCCCACCACAGATCTCCACCGAAAAGAACCTGGAACCTAGCAAAGGGAGCAGCAGATCTTCAGGGGAGCAGCAAAACAAAGGACTCACAGTGTTACCATCTTCGCCGTCGGAAGCACCCCTGGCCCTCTCCAGTGCAGATGCTGGAAGCAATGAAGACTCTCCGGAGGAGGTGCCCCAGGAGAAAGAGAGCCCTGTGTCTCAGGTCTTTGAGCTCGAGATTGAAGCCTTGACTGTGGATACCACCCCTTCCCCTGAGGAGGGGGACATTTCCTCTTCCAGGAAGCAATCAGAGGACCCCCTCACCACTGTTGTGGAGAATGGAGCAGCCATGGTCACCTCCACTTCCTTCAATGGAGGTGTCTCTCCTCACACCTGGGGAGATTCTAGTCCCCCCTGCAAGAAATTTCGGAAGGAGGGGCAAACAGGAGCAGGACCTTTAGGAAGCAGGTAACGAGGAGGAAGAAGAGGGGCTCGAAGGAGGGATCGCAGGGGGCTGTCTAAGAGGAGTACTGAGGGACTGAGCCTGCTGGGAAAGACTGACACTCTCCCTCCAGTCCCAGACTGCCTACACTTCTGTTTCTGTCCCTAGCTATGTGGAAGGGCAAAGGGAAGTACATGAGAAGACTGGGAAGAAGATATGTACCCTGCCCAGCCCACATTCCCCTTTGGCTTCCATGGTACCAGTTGCTGATTCCTCAACAAGAGTGGACTCTCCCAGCCATGGCCTGGTGACCAGCTCCCTCTGCAGCCCATCTCCAGCCCAGTTGTCCCTAACCCCCAAGTTACAACCTTCCCAGCCTAGCACTTTCAAGGTAAGAGGGGGAGGCTGTTTTTCCTGACTTCATTCTCTTTCCGTGTCTGTTCATTTTCAGGTGCACCATCTGAATATTGGACTCACCACATCCTCTGTCTTCCTTCTTCCTACCCAATTTTTAATCTTTAATAAGTCCTTCCCTATGTTTCTCCTCCCCCTATATTCCAGATCTCTCTGACTCTTGTCTCACTCACTTGCAGATGAGTGTGGCCACACAGTGCGATCCAGAGGAGGTCATCGTGCTCTCAGACTCTGATTAGCCTCCCCATCACTCCCTGACTCCAGAATGTTTGAGGATAGGATTTGGAAGCAGATGACTGAGGAAGGGATGGACTGAGCTAATCCCGTTTTGGTGGTATTTCTTTTAAAAAAACAAAAACCAAAAAAAAAAACACAACACAACGTTTTACATTAAACAATAAAGTTCTTTTCTTATTGCATCCCTGTCTTTGTCCTTCTGCTCTCACCAATTGGCACCAGCTGTTCTCTAGCTCAGGGTTTGCCGGCCGGCCCCGCGGTAGCCCTGGGTCTGTCCTTGCTAACCTACCCTTAGCCCCGCTCTGCTGGAGTTTCACCTGGAAAAATGTGCTTGAGCTCTTTACTTTCCCACTTCGAGCCGTAGGAGTAAAGAGGCCAATCAGGGGCCCACTCAAGGTTACTTGGCCAATCCAGGCCCGGAGGAAGGGGGCGGGGCTTCAGGGATACTAGGGCGTTTAGATCCCGCAAACCCGCTAATGGCCACGGCTCCAAGGGAAGAGGCAGGCTTACAGAATTAAAGGAGAACGAGTGCTTCGGCCAAACCAAGTCCTGAGTCCTCAGCGGCGGGAGAGACCTGGTACCTTTAAGACGTAATGAAGTAACTGTGTTTAAAGGAGAAGTGACTGAGTCGGCCAAGTATTGCCCAGCGACACAGGCAGGGTGCCCGGCTGTGCCTTTAAAGCTGAACGGGCAGGAGGCGGAGCGGAGGCGGAAGGCGGAGGGAGTCGGCGCAAGATGGCGGCGGGAGGGGCCCAAGCTGGGGCTCTGGCTGC